CGAGCGCGAGCGCGCGCGCGCCGGGCCGCTGCTGGAGACGTTCGTGGACCCCGCGCGCGTGGGCAACGTCGGGCGCTTCCTCAACCACTCCTGCGAGCCCAACCTGGTGATGGTTCCCGTGCGGGTCGACTCGATGGTTCCGAAGCTGGCGCTGTTCGCGGCCAGAGACATTTCGCCGGGAGAAGAGCTGTCCTACGACTACTCGGGAAGATTCCTCAATGGAACGGACAGTGACGCCGAAGACAGGCCGGACGACGGGACGCCGCGGAAACCCTGCTACTGTGGGGCGCGGTCGTGTGCCGCTTTCCTGCCTTACGACAGCTCTCTGTACCGCCCCGCAGAAGGGCCGGACGTCACCTAGGACGGGCCGTGCTGGAGGAACGCGCCCGGCCTCTCCTCCCCCGGCGGCAGGACAGGGTGACAAGGAAGCGTGCGTGTTGGCTCGGCCCTCTCTGCGTCCCCGCTTACATACGGGTGACCCTCCGTGCAGTCCCCGCTCTGCCTTAGCCGCTGCTCGCACTGTAGCGGAGGCCAGTGGTCAGCTCGACCACAGGTTGTCCCCCTTCTATAATGGAATCTCAGGGTTTTGCTAAAAACTGGGCACTTTTTCTAGTTAGACGTGACATGTTCCAGCTAAGGTCACAGAAGCAAAACCGGTGTGTCCTTAAGTGGGGACATCCTGCCCTTACCCCCTCTCCCTTCCTCTTGGCTGGAGCTCGAGCATCCACCTTATACTCCGCGATCACTCTGGAAAAGGAAACCACACAGCACGTCAACGAAAGTGAAAGCAGCCTCGGTGCCTGGGCTGTGGACCACACCACCGGCCCTGATGTGACGCCTGGACATTTAGGTGAGAAACGGCCTCTCCCCCATTTATGCCACTGTAATTTCGATTTTTCTAGCACTAGCCCCGGACCTAAGCACAATGATCCAAGGAAACTGGCAGCTGCGTGCCTAGCTAGGCCTGCTTTCCAGGTTTATCAGTAATAAAGCTGAGAGTTCGATTTCTGCCTGTCTGACACCTGCATCTTATTTCTCATGTGTTTCTAAACACAAATTAAGGAGAAGGGCATGATTATCACCTCCTAAAACCCTAATAATGACCAATAATGAAAAATATACCTGAGACAATGATTTCCATGTGTATAACCAAAAGGCAAAAAAGGAAACGAACATTTTCACTATACACTTGGCTCTACTCCAAAGCTTGTGAAGTCACGCTTCGAAACTTCAAGCAGCCTCATTTCTTCACATATTAATAATATGGAAATAAACCTGCCAATACCACAAAAGGGGATGGGAGTTTTTTAATTCCATTTATACTTCTGGAGGGACAAACATCTCTAACTTCCTTTTTTAAAGCAAGGATGTTGCAAAAACAAGGTACTTTTAGAGGTTTATTAGACATTTTGAAAGCTGAAGTAATTATTTGGGCCCCATACTCTCATATTATTTAATAAATTAGTTAATATCTCCCCGAGTACATTTAAACCGTACCATTAGGAGGCCTTGCACTTCCAAAGTTACATCAAGATCCATATTACATGTAACACTCTGCCCATGTGATATAAGAGCTGTACGCTTCCTGAGTGAAACGCTGTGCGAATTATATCTCAATAAAGTTGTTAATATGTCAGGAATGAAGTACTGACACACTAGAACACGGACGAACCTTGGAAATATGATGCTCAGTGAAAGAAGCCAGACACCAAAGGCCACATATTCTGATTGTTTTTATATGAAATGTCCACAATAAGCATTTCTATCTCTAAATAAATCAATCAGTGGTTGCCAGAGACGGGTGGGAGGGAGGTGTGGGAAGCAACTGCTGATGGGTCCAGGGCTGCTTTCTAGGGTGAGAATCCTAAAACCTGCTTTCAAGGGGTGCGTTTTATGTTTGTGATTATATTTCCATAAAGCTTACCAGAAAAGAAGACGTGGTGCCTAGGAAACCGGTCACCTGGGACTCTGAACACTGCTCTCAGGAAGAACACCCTTTGGGGCCGAGGGAGATGCTTCGCCACTTCCCTACGTCCTCAAACAAAACACAGCTGTGCCTGATGCTGGGACTGTGCCTGAAGCTGGGACTGTGGCCGTGACCACGGCCGGAGGTGGACCTGGCTTTGCAGAAGTGCTGGGTTCAGTAAGAACAGAGATGACTATTCAACATGTCAGACCTTCAGCCCAGAGCATAAACGCCTGAATAACGAAGCACAGGTTCCTTGCAGTGCTGAGTGTCAACTTCCTTGCTCCCCTTTCTGTGCCTTTGTTTTTCCAGAGGTCCTCACGGGTAGCACAGTATTCGTGACAGTTACACGTGGAGACACAAATATTTTGCCACATTAAGCAATTCACATTACTTTCCAGTTTGCAGATGTGTGGATCGAGAAGTCTGATGTTGATTCTTCATGTTGTTCACATCGTTCGTCTCATGACATATTTAACAGTTACGATGACAGTACACGTGATGGTCGTGTATGTGATGAAACTGTCTTTCCATATCATTCAATGTAATCTCAGTAATGTTTGAACAGGATAAGTAAATTTCGTGATTTATTTTAAACTCTGTCTCGGCAGAGTAAAGCTTTCTCAAAGTGAAATCAGCTACACTGACTCGAGAGATGTTCTCACAGGGTATCATCGTCAGGAAAGCACCAACAACGTGAAATTTTGTTTATAACAGCACAATTTATGATTAAGAAAACTAGATATTTTTTGGAATATCTAATAATTTAGGAACCAGATAGGTCATTATTTTGTTATCCATTGCCAACTCAGTTGGACACCCAGGCATGAGCAACAATGATGAAATTTAGTCATATTTTATATTTTGCCAACTTTCAGTCATTTAAAAACCATAACTTTATATGTTTTCCATTCTCGCAGTTATGAAGGTATTTTGTCAAAGTAGGACAATAACGATATGCAACCTTTAAATATTTCTCCAGACTGCCTGTGGCTGTCCCACAAGCTGTCCTGTCCTGGATGCAATGAGGGACGGAAGAACCAACTTGCCTGGCAAGGCAGTTGTGAGCCTCACACAAGATCATGGATCGATACAGGCTACACGTACTCTCTCAGTGCAGTTGTCATTAAGTGCCATCGTGCCTCACCTAACAGAACGCGCAGCACATTGTCCTAGAAGCTGCCTGCCTCTGGCTCCATCAGATTGAATGTAACGGTAGGTCATCCCTGGTGGAGGCCGGCTAATTATTTAAGTAGCAGGAAACCAGGATGGCAGGATGGCAGGATGGCAGGATTACCAGCAGACCCTGAAGGACGTCCGTGGTGTCCCCGGTTCCTCACGACTCTTTGGGGTTTCTCTGGGATGATAAACGCCTCCGCTATTTGTGTATCATTTTTGCATTATTGGCAATGCCGTCTGCCTCGCCCAAAGCTACAAGTCATCCATGACCCGTCGTCCTCTTCCCCAAGACAATCATCACCGAGGCCTGTAAGTTCCGTCTACACCTCTCCAATCTGCTGTCTGATTCACGTTATCGTTCTGTGCCCTGCCGCAGCCTCCCTGCCTCCAGCCTCGCTGTCCCCACAGCGCGCCCTCCACCTTTAAGCCCCTCCGTGACTTCTCGTCACTTCAAGGATGGAGCCCAAACTTCCTAGCATGACCGGAAGGCCCCTGCCTACTCTCCACCTCATCCTTCACTCCTTTATCTTTCTGAGATCCTCCCGGAAAACCCACGCTCCCGCTCAGCCCCGGCCTTGACCATGGTCTGGAAGAAGCTGAGCAGGCAGGTTGCCTTCGGAGAGCGTTAGCAGGGGTGCGTTAGCAGGGGTGTGTGCGCGTGTGTGGTTGTGCTTTACCTTGTTCCCACCTCTGCCTCTCGCAGAACCCTGGACTCCCTTCATCCGGATGTCTCTCCTGGGCGTGGCTGCGTTTCTTACACTCACCACACTTGTTTGCGTGGCGCCTGGGCAGCTACAAAAACAAGAGCCAGCCATACGTCCTGTTACCCTGTCTCTCCTTCCTTCCTTCCATCCCTTCTTCTGTCTGCTGCCAGCGGGCTCTGCGCCACTTCCATCAGCCTGCTGTCCCCTGTCGCTCATCCTCCAGCCACCGGCCCAGCTTGTCCTCAGTGCCACATCCCCATGGTTGAACTGGGACAATACAAATGTCTAGATCTACAGGACGGTCATCCCTGCCATGCAGCACTTTGCTAACTTGTTATCCTCAGGTCCAGACACAGTCGATGCTCCCCGCTTGTGAGGTCAGCCACTTACAAAGCACTGACGCCACTAAATCCGTCCCACGCGTCCGTGGCCTCTGCTCGCCATGGCCCCTCTGACCAGCCCACACCCCGCCTTCCCTCCACCCCTTGACCACCTCTGTCTTCTTTCCCGTACCTGCCACCACCGCGAAGTGCTTGTGCATAGTAGGTGGACACAGACGGTGCTTTGAACAAATCTCAGACCTAGGCCACTCCTATCTGAACAAAACTGAACCCCCTCCATTAGAGCCTCCATTTGCGCTCAAGGACTCTTACAAAGTGGGTCTGTTTGACTTTGGAAGTGTTTGCTTGCGTCCCGATCTGTTTCTCCTGTCTTTCCCGTCTCCTGAAAATAACCTCTGTCCCCTTTCTTCCCCAGCAGCGGCCCCACCTCCTCCCCCTCACCCCGGACTCACTGACGCACACGGTGGGAACCGGGCCCAGCTCAGTCACTCATCCTCCACCTTCTGCCGACACCAGCTCTCCCACAACCCCCACCTGCCACGCGGAAATTGCTCCCAAATTTTTATCCAGTTTAAACAATTTTAGCTACTAAATTTTGACTTTTTTCCTAGTAAGAGTATTTTACAATAAACTAATATTTACTATCACCATCCGTTCAGAAAGAAAAGGCATTCTAACAGGAGTGGGGGGCGTCACATAGTCACTTACAATCTCTCAGCAGTTCCTAAGATGATGTCGGGGTAGCCTTATGAACGACATGACACCCGGTCCACACATTTCTTTGCAAAGACCAGCATTTGAGAAGTAGCTCTGCTTGGACCACCCGGGCACCACAATGGCTCTGTTCTTCATGCATTCATTTATTCACTTCATTCATGCATTCACTCATAAACATGTCAAGCATCGAGCACGTGCTAGGTGGTACGAGGATGATTCTTCGACCTCGTGATTCATTCGGCGAATGTTTCTGAGCACCTGCTATGCTGCATTCTGAAGAGACTGGGACCAAAAGCTAAATCTCCATCACGCCACACGGCTACCATTTCTTTTTCGTGGGGAGAATATCTAAGATCTACTCTCAGTGGCTTGCTGGCTGTGATCACAATGCTGTGTATGAAGTCCTCGGAACTTACTCACTTTTGAGATTCAGGAGTCTCTTTCTCATCCTGCTATGAATGAATATATACAGTTTTTCTTCTCTTTCTTCATTATGATACCAGATAAATTTTTTTTTTTAATTTCAGAAAATTAAGGTTACGAGCAAGGTAAACTTTTCTACACCTGTCATTTGAAACAGTTTAAGGCATAACAAACATTATTAGACATTCCTTACTGGACAGAGATCAAATGGGCTCACTAACTTTTTAAAAATTTCCCTTAAAAATATTCTATTTCTTTACCAATACACCTATCCTGTGGCTGGTTACACGCCTTGTCCACCTCCCCCAGCAGCAACACGGGTGACAGCAATGTGCTTCACCTTTTCGAAACTAAGATATTCCATGTGAATTCTCTACTTGCCGTTTCAGCATATTCACTTGTAAACAGTACCACTCTGAGGACATAAAAGGCAATAAGTAATGATTTATCCCCTAGCACAAAGCCAACTTAATTGTAAGAGTCTTGGACATGAACGTTCCAAAGCTCCAAGCTCATAATGCAAAACCCACAGATTCCAATAAAGAAAGCACGTGCCAAGGGAACCAAAGGCCACATGCCATGGAAGAGCTGGCAGGCGGACTTCAGGTCCTCAATTTCAACAGCTGCTGAAAGCTCTGGTCACTCAGCCAACAGTTATCACGCGCTCGCTCCACGCCAGCTCTCGCTTAGGTGTTTCGAGACTTTGGGAGGCTCTCTGAGCTGCCGTTTCAAGGTACAATGAGGCAAAGGCTACTTGTTGCTGGCTCGCTGCTCCTCCGGGTTTGCTTCGCCCAGGGTCCCCGGCCACAGGATCCCTGAGCGAAAGGGTCCCTCGAAACTGACACGAGGGTCCCCACGAACAGCTCTATGTCAACGGAAGCACGCGCGTTTTCTCGGTCTTGCCGTCTCCTCTACTGGTTTTGTCATTCCAGAAGGGAGTCCGGAAATCGATCCCACAGCAGAGGCAGCACCTGTTTCCAGTAACGGGGCCACCAGGACGGACACACGGGTCACCCCCAGGAGCAACCTGCCACCTGCAGTCTCCAGGCAGAACTGTCCTGACGACCCTCCTCTCCTTTCCCTGCGAGAACTCAAAGCATTCACACCCTCGTTTTAGAGAGGATGCGACTCAAGCTCCCAAGGGGTGGGGACCCCAGTGCTCAGGGGACTTTGAAAAGCATCGAATCCCGGGCCTCGTTTTAGCCCAATTCACCCAGTCTTCTGGGCGGGGGGCTAAGGACAGAGAATTTCAGACAACCTCCCCTAAGTTAGTTCTTCCAACACGACAAGCCAGGAATGGCCCAGGAACCATCTCTGAGGTAGGTCACAGGGTGGAGCAGGGAGATGAAGGGAGGAGGCTGACGAGACTAGGTAACACGTAAGGTCCCTGAATTTCAGACAATGATTTTTAATGTTCAGGGGCACGTGAGGTCAGAAGCATCCCTAAAAAACCCACACGAAGGAAAGGTCAGAATTATTAGCTCAGACGGGCTCCGGAGCTCCGGCCACAAGGAGAAAAACAACATGGTCATTACAGGCAGTTAAGAGGTCATTGTGGATTGTGGGCAGGGGCGGGGGTGGAAACAACTTACCCCTGAGGACAAATTCATTAACAGTGGATCACTTGTGCGGACTGGATTTGCAATCAAGATTGGACTCATCAGCTGACCCCGAGCTGGTACTTGAGCCGCGGAGGGCTGAGAATCCTCGGGCTAGAGGACGACCCGAGTTTGATTTCATTCACTTCCCCTGACAAATACTCACGTCCTGCATAAGTTCCCCTAAGCAGAGCTACCGTGGCTGTTCTCAGATTCATTTTAGGATTAAAAAAAAAAAAATCATTAAAAAGCTGCAGAGTCACTGTACATGGGAATGTAAATTGGTACAGCCTTTTTGGAGGGCTGTCAACATCCACCCCAAAGGAAAGTAACCATATGCTTTGAAACAGGAGTTAGATTCTCAGGAATTTATCCTACAGAAATATCTGCACTAACTGGCAAAGATGTAAGGAGGTACAAATAGGTTTATTGGAACATTATTTTTTCAATGAGAGTGGACATTCAGTATTGTTTTATATTAGTTTCGGGTGTACGGCATGGTGGTTAGACATTTCTATAACTTATGACATGATGCCCCTGATTAGTCCCCACCTGGCACTATACATACTTGTTACGTTATTATTGAGTATATTCCCTACGCTACATTTTTTAACGATAAAAACTGAAAATCACCTGAATGTTGTTCCTCCGATGTTGCCCCCCTAGGTCCCTTAGGACAGCTTCGCTCTTTGAAATCCTTCTTTCTTTTTGCTGCTTGGTTTGGGGAGCTCCGCTGACCTGAGTCCACGATCACTCACCCTTTCGTGCGCATCATCTAGTCTGCTGTTAAACCTCCGTGTGTTTTTCAGTTCAGTTATTGCGTGCGTCAGCTCCGTGACTTCTGTTTGGTACATTGCTATAATTCCTACCTCTTTGTTGAAGTTCTCATTGTGTTCATCCATTTATCTCAAGTTTGGGGAGCCTCTTTATGGCCATTGCTTTGAACTCTATCAGGTGAATTGCGCATCTCCATTTCATTACGTTTATTTCCTATTTTGTTTGAAACATGCTGCTCCCCTTCCCCATTCTGCTTGACTCTGTGTTTGTTTCTGTTGGCTGCCTCGCACAGTCTTTCAGGCTGATTGGAAGCTAGCCCCTCAAGCAGCAGCTTTTAGAGTATGCAGATACACGCAGCCCCACGGAACCACAACCATAAATCCTGCTGGTCTCCAGACCGGGCAATCTGGGGTGTCTCCTGTGCAACAGCTGCAAAACTTGGGGTTCCAGATGAATGCATGAGGTCCTTAATGGAAGGTACCAGCAAGATGTTGTAAGGACAGGGGACAGCCAGCTTTCGGGGGCTGCTAATTCAGCTGTTTAAAAAGAATGAGACCTGTATAGTATTTTCATGAGGTGTATAAATATATTAAATGAATAGTCTTAATTCTTAATAGTATGATTCTATTTAGTTTTATACAAACCAAATGTGAATGGTATATATTGTGTGTGACTTGCGTATGTGTATATGTGTATATTTACACCTAATCTGTAGTGAGTATATATCAATACGCACGTTTGTAAATGCATGGAAACGTCTGGAAAGATACACTAAGTGCTTTTACCTGCTGGCGGTTACCTGCTGGCAAAGATTTGGGAGATGATCAGAACTCACAGAATGAAGGGCCTCTAAGGATACTCTGCATACATTTTAGAGTTTCTAGTTTTACCTTATGCATTTTATTGTTCTTACGATTAAAAAATAAAGGTTTTTCTAATGATACTTGGTGGATAGTTATTAATAAGAATTATTAATAAAGGCAGCAGAATTTCAGAAAATAATCAGCATAAAAAGATGAGAGATCATTCTAGAGCCTTTCCCAGCTTCTGCGGGTCACAGTCTCCACTCCTGCCTTCTCTCTAAAAAGTCGGAGATCAGAACTGAGAAGTACTTTAAAAAAAAAATTTTTTTCCTATAGAATAAATGTTTGTACCCTCTTTTTTGTCCCCCTCCCCCAGCCTTCCAAATCCACAGGACCACTAAATAAAAGGTTCTCCAACTCAAGATATTACTTGTACAAAAACAGCAAAAACCACGAACAATGTGGCCACTAGATGGGGACCATAACGCACAAAAGCATTCTGGACTGCCACTTCACAGAAAAGCATTGCCACAGATGCAGGGCCAAGGCCTGGCACCAAGGGCCTGTCCAGAGCTAACGGCCCACAGCAATAATCAGTGCGATTCAGCCTTTGGCTTGCCTAATGTGTCCTGAAGCAAAAGGTCTCATTAATTAATTTAAAATGACAAATGTGAATACGGTTCCCATATTTGTGTGGTGTATTTCCGAAATGAGTATTCACAAATATTCTGGAACAGGCGAACGTCGAGCTGGAAGCCTCCTTGAAGCTGCGTCTGAACAGACTGTGCCGTTTTCAGCCGAGCGGCAGAGTCAGGCGTGGAGACTGAGAACTGTGGCCTCGTCTCACGAACGGGACTTAATCTTATCTAGGAAGTCCTCCCGCACGCTCCTCCAGAATGCTATTTAATAAGCACGGTGCAGGACACTGTTTTCTTTCATTCTTCACACGTGACCTCAGTCAACTGTCTTTATCAGCTGTATTCTCTTCACGGAATTGAGCCTCGTACAAATGAGCTGATAATGCACCTTTTGATCATTCTTTCCGGGGGGTGAATGTTTCCAATACGCCCAGGCTGTTCCTACCACACCCCTAAACATATATATATGTACTTCTTTATGAACACGTGATCACTGTGTAGAAAGGAGTGGGAGGAGAGGCCGTGATGAAAGCATGTCTTTTGAAGAGGTTAAGAATCCGAGTCTTAACCTTAGATTCTCGTTGCCACACTGAGAATGACTATTGCATCGACCTTCGGTTTGGCATGGACGTAAAGCAGGTCGAAGGTTTGCACACAGATCACCCCATACTATGTTTACCCTCCAGCCTCGACCCGACCTGTTCCAGAAGTATTTCCACTTAATATGCAAAGTCTGAAGAACAAATCGGTTCAGTAACTTGCCCAGAGTCACAAGACCAGCAAGCGGCAGGACAAGAATGTAAACCTAGACGGTCTGGCCCGGAGTCCGTGCTCTCAGCCACTAGTCCATCGCCCCTCCTCGCTCTTTGCCTTTTTTCCCCTTGAGGTGACCTCCCAGTAATCACCTCTTTTCAATCCGCTCCTCCCCACCCCAAACTCACAAGCGACAGATTTAAGGGTACGGTGGCGAGAACAGAAGTCACAAAAAGAGCGAGTCCCGGTCCTGCCTCCTCGGCCGTGTCACCTGGGCACCCTGTAAACGCTCTGAGTCCCAGTTTCCTAAGAGAAGAGGTGGATCCCTCCCAACGGGAAAATCAAGACAGAATCCGCCGAGCAGAAGGGAGCTGCTTCATGACAGCGACACTTGGACCTTCCTCACTGGCTTTATACCACCACCACCACCTGCAGGGGCAGACGCTGGTGACATGCAGGGTCCAGCTCCACGTCACCTCCAGCACAGGCGGCGACAGCGGGGGTTCTTACCCTACACATGCCTCATACCGCGAAGTCTTTCTGGGGCCTCTTTCTATATCAAAGTGATTCCAGCTACAGCGACTGAAGAGATTCCAAGGGCGCCCTTCCATGTCACTGAACAGTAAATAGATCAAGTTGTATCTGGCAGCGTCAGGAGCAGAGAAAACTGCGGACTTCAAAAAAGCAACCACAAAGGGCCCTTCCTCACAAGCTCCAAACCAAACGCGGGGGACCCTTTTATCGGCGCCACCTGACGAGGGGCTTATCTCTCTTCCCTGCCGGTCTGTGAGCTGGTTTCACTTTCCCGTGAGTGTTGTTCAGAGCTTCTAATGTCACTCTGATGAGACGCCAAACCGACCTGTTGGAAGAGTCGCTCTGATTAGTCTTCCATTTCCCCAGCAAAGAAAACAAGGAGTTTGTCAAACATGGCCCAGGCCCAGGCGCCCGAGAGCCACCCCATCTGACCTTCGGTTACTGTGACAGGGAATGGCCTTCCTGCCTGACGACTGTGACTAATTCGATTCCACAGGCCCAGCCAGCCTGCTCGCACTGATGGCTTTGGGGTCAATTACCATTTGGGGGCAGATTAGACTCTGATCTGAAGCTGAAAAACTCCACCGCTGCCACCAATTCTCCGAACTTCCCAATCCTAACTAGGGCAGATTTCAGAAAGGAGCATCTCTCCTTTCACAATCTACCTGAGTATGGTCTGTAATGGTTTGGCTTAATCAAAAAATTAATTGAACTCCGGCTCTAAAGTTCTCAACACAAGAGTCGGAGGTAGGCAGGGGACCTGGCCAGCTGCCTCGGTTCCATCCAGGCCTCTCGGAGCCAGGAATATCCATGGGGCTTTAAGCATTTCAAACAGCAACGGCCAACTTTCCGTAATAGCGGACTCTGGCAAACCTACAAAAGCAAGGCCTGCTCTGCGGTAGTTTTTACTGCAGAAAATTAAGTTTTAATAGATGAAATGAAACCAATAGTCAAGAAACTGACCTCTGCTGTTTTCTAATATTAATCTGGGTAATAAGTGACAAAGTTAATGAAAATGGACCGTCGGTGGGGGGCGGGGGAGGTAGATGGGGTAAAGGGGGTCAAACCCGCGGTGACAGAAAGAGGTGAACACACAGTGTAAATATATTTATGCCTTACTGTTAAAGTGTACAGCTGAAACTTATTGGATTTCGTTAACCAGTGTCACCACAAAAAAAATTAATTAAAAAAAAAAATGGACTGCCAATGGCGCCGCTGAGATCAGCTGCGGCTGTTAAATGACTTTGAGGCTGGGGGTGTCGAGGGCATCCCCCGGGAAACCACCACCCTTCCTCACGCTCGGACCCTCACCGGTACGTTACTAACTTGATTAGTCATTTTTTTCCAACAGAAACATGAGGTTTTGTTCCATGAAATGAGTCGACTTTTCAGAATGGAGGCTGAACGCAGCACCCCACAGGCCGAACCTGACTGCAGAATCATTTATTAGCTCTTCGCAGTGTTTGGTTTTTAAATCGTCATCGGATGCCAACAAGGAAAACTCAGAAGCCTTCACACGCAAATGCAGGTATCTTGGAAACGGGGCGAGCGGGCGGCTCTGGGCCCGGTTCCGTGTGGCCGCCGGGGACCCGGCAGGCAGTGGCAGTCCTGTGCAGTGAGCACTGCTCCCGTGTCCTCCTACGAGTAGCCGCAGGTTCACCTGTTCATGAGACAGACTGCCCCTGGGAAGGTCAGTATTTGCTGGAAGGAAGGAGGAAGAAATGCGTGCAAAATACCATTTGAAAGGAAAAAAAAAAAAAAAAGGAAACCACAAGCCTCTTGTATAAACTATCTGAAGTGTCGAAACAGAAAACATTGTATTTCCATGTTTGGTTTGGTTTGGTTTTCAAAATACTCTTTTCACTAAGTCAACGATGGATTCGTACCACAGGCGACAATTCTACGTGCCGCTGGAACACGTGATCTGTTTTCAAAAGGTGATCAGCAAGAGGACCAGGATTCTGAGGTTCTCGTGGAAGAAAGGCCCGCTGCCTTATGTTATGTCGACAAGAGAACTCTCGATAAAGACAGTCGGTGGAAACGGACTTTACCAAGACACCGGTTTGGAGCCATTACCCCACCGCACCGCAGCCCAGAAAAACACCTACTAAAATGAACAGCACCTTCCACTTCTTATTTTCCTGAAGTGTCATATGGACCACACAGATGCTTTGTCAAAAAAAAAGAAAAGAAAAGAAAGGAACAAAAGAAAAGAAAAGAAAAAGGGAGGAGGGAGGGAAGAGGAATAAAAGGAAAACTTCTAATCGGCGGAGCTCCGTCCTCCATGGTAAGCTGGAGGCCGGGCCACGCAGTCTGAGGCATCAGTGTCATGTGATGTCTTCCAACAAGGAAGTCACTCAAGATCACCCCCCCATCGTTCCCCACCCCCTAACGCTTTCTAATCATGCTTATAAGGTTTTCAAAAAGAAGACATGACTAGCTTCCCACTCAGCTCATCGTGTACACCCTGAAAATAAAGGTTGTCCAGGATTGGGGACCAAGGCAGATTTAAAAACAAACCTCAATTCCCTCCATGCTTCAGCGGGGCAGGAAATCAGTTAGAGGCACAGACCCAAAACAAGAGCTCCTTACCAAGCGACAAAAAAGATAAGCATGCAGGTAAAGGAGACTACAGACACTGGCCATGCCCCCTTACAAATGACGGAGGGAGCAGTCTGCATCTGATCAGATTTTCATTTGATGCAAGTGGTGTCAAAAGTAAATGCCCTCGAGAAACATCTGGGAGAAGGAAGAATCCCAGGACTAAGACTGCAAAGGCTATGATTCTGGCTACAAATGCCACTGGAGACTTAATCGAGACACTGGTTTTATGAGGAGAGTTATTGTTTTTGTCAGTGCCCTGGTTACAAAGTTCCTTAAGTTTTCAGTGGCCCGCCCCTAGCTCTATTTTTCCTTTATGCTCCCTATGCTTTGCACGCAATTGTGCAGAAGATGAGGTTTTCGAGAATGCATATAGGGCATTAAAGCTGAAATTATTACACTACCAACTTGTTGGTCTGCTCACATGTCAAAATGCAATATTACACAGCGCAGTGGCCACAGCTGTCTGTCATTTGGTGCACTCGTGGTAACCTAGAAATAAGGTTCTTCAGTGAAGGGCTTCTTAAAAACAGATTTTGTTTTAATGCTTTCTAATATTATGCTGATGCTAAAAATACAATTGTAAAGACTAAGCCAAAACGCACCCCAAATATTTACGCCATATAACACTTAACAAGAATCCAAAATATACACAGTAAAAATGTAACCACGTAAAAAAATATAAGCAGTTGGGAGACAACAAGTAAAAACCAAAACTACTTGAGCAGTGCTGGCTTGAAGAATAAAATATCTTATTTTCTACACTAGCTTTTTCAATTGAGCAAATGCTTTTGTTTGTTTTGCTTGGAATTAATCATCAATTGATGAAAGTTTGTAGCAAAACATTTTATGACCACAAACTGACAGATTAATAAATGTGGCTAAACGCCCCAGCAACACACTGTTTTTCAAGACAAATGTTTTGCTGCTGGGAGGCTCTGCACCGAAGTGGCAATCTAGCGTTGGCTGGACACTGGCGAATGCCACTAGGCTTACTTTCTGAACAACCAACATAAAGACGAGCCATTTCTTTCCAGTGGCAGACTAGAAGCGTCTCCAGGTCTTAAGGACTGGGAGGTCAGGGTGGGGTCCTGGGCACAGGGTCCTCTGGCTGGAAGCCACACTCTAAAACAAGGGGCTTTCCCGGCACGTGAGGCGGCTGCCAGCTTTCCGGGACCACCACCCAGGCGGTGCCGCTGACGTCACCTTCCTTCCCGACACGCGGAGAAGCAAGGTTGTCGTAAGGTCCCCACAGGGAGCCTTGCTCTTTGGCATAGAAATTGCCACAAACTGCTTGCGTGTCAAAGTCATCAAGTAGCTGATGGACATGAACGTTTCCTAGTAGACAGAACGCATATCACGGTCACCTCTTTAAAAGAGAACACAGCGAGGGAAACACAAAAGGCACACACGAGAGTGAAGGCCGACTCAGCAGATACCAGTTTATTCGACATAGTGCACGATTCAAAGCATGTGACGTTGCACGGCCAACGAGGCCACCTGTTACAAAGTGCCCGCTACCCCGCACGCAGTTCACTCGGGGTTCTCGCTCCTTCTCTCCTGCGTCTGAAAGGGAGCGGTTTCTCCGTGTACCGCACACCTCACCTTCACCGAAGGCTTTGGGGAGAGGGGGAGATGGGGCTCGTAACTGCCCCCCCGAACCAAAGGCACTTAATGTTAAAAGATAAAGCACAGCAGAGTCACCCACAGACACCCCACGTTCAGACGGCTGAGCCTAGGCGCACCATCGCTGGCCCATGTGGGAGTCATCCTGACCATGTTCCCGTGGGAAAACAAAGTGCAGCATGAATATAAAGCCTGGTCACCGCCAACCCTGTCCTTGTCTGAAATAGCATGTGAGAGCCTTAGTTTACACGACTGATGTCACCCGAGATTCACACGTGGAAAAATAAGCTTAAAAATAATCTGTCATAAATTCTCACTGTGAAATCCCCATGGATGTGCCACACGCAGAGAGGAGTCGGAGAGAGCCTCTAGGGTCCTGCGGTGCGTCCCCTCACTGGACAGGCGAGGCCGGTCTGGGACGCGGGGCCTGACCCCATGGCAGAGCGCGCGGGTGGAACGCAGGCCCCCCGAAGCCTGGCTCAGGGTCCCCTCCACCGCACCCCTCCCCATCCTCTTTAAAAGACCCTCCGAAGCACGGGGCGATGAGCTTCAGACGCGCCCACGCGGGGCGGCTCGGGGCGCCTGGCCGGCCGGCGG